AGTTACTATGATTTATAATGTTTTTAAGTCCAGCAATAAGGCCCGTTAGTAGACACGGGAGGCCCATACGAGTATCTCCACTCTCCACACGCCGTGCACCTCTCGATTTCAATGCCGTTATTTAGTGTGCAGAATTTGCAAGACCAAACTTTTGTCTTCTTACTTCCATTCTCTCCAAAAACCTTTTGTGTTCCACAGGCTTCACAAGCAAGAGCAAGCCACTGCAACTCAACGAACATCCGTTAATTAATGCTCCGAAGAACATAATTTCGTATGATTAAAAGGAGTTTTAAAAAAAACTCTGAAGAAAACTTTATACCCGATTTAGTAATGTGCATGCATTGCATTGCCACAACATTTCATCTTTTTGAGATATCAAATCAGGCCCAACATCGTTCGCCGAACTTGGGCTCCCAAAAGAGCCTTCATTCTCATGGCCCAATTTGGAACCGCACCATAAGTCATCGTGTAGCCTCCTTTCGGCAGCCATTGCTGCCGCTTGAATCGGGCTCAGCAGTGATTTAATGCTGCTATCACCACCAATACGTTTAGGCCCGTGTGGCAACAGGGCTTCGAGTTGGGCCCGGTTTTGGGCCGCTGTTAATGCTTTCTGGCGTAGTGAAGAAAGGGGAGGTTGATGAGAATATCCACCTAATCTTCTCCCGGGAAGATCGAAACCTTGCCCAGTTCCGGTTATGCCCTTGGCTATGAGTCCTTCGCATTCCTAACAAAGAGAAAAATCTAAATAGTTTCTCACCACATTACAGACTAAAATAAATTTTGAAACGAAAAAATAAAAATAAAAATAAATAAATATTCCGGGTAATGTTGGTTAGTTTGTTCAGTTTCTGTAGAGAAGCCTTTGATACAATTGATATGGTCGGATATATAATCCTCCATCAGCTCGCGTTACGCCAAGTAAAAAAAAGAAAGAAAGAAAGAAAGAAAGAGAAAAATCACCGGAGTCGGATGCATACATGCTAACAGACGAATACTATTAAAAAAAAATCAGAAACTCAATAAGCTGCATCGATATAGCTTCAGAGATTATACCAAACCACCATATGTGCATTTCTTTTGCAAAGAAGAATCAACAAAAACAAATAATGAATAACCTTTCTTATTTCGTCCAAAAGATTGTAGAAATCTGCATTGTGAGGGCCATATTCATTGTGACAAAGCTCGTGAAGCATTGTGTCAAGAATCTGATTGTACGGGAAAAAATCCCACTCGTTGTTTGGTCTTCGTAGTCTCAGCTTAACCTCAGCCCCACCACCTACATTTAGTCCTAAAAGAGATGGATTTGGAGGGCTGCAAATTCAAGGCTCTTCAATTAGTAAAGCTTAAATAAGCATGATAATTGAAAAATTAAATATATATATATATATAAACAAGTCAAATTTCGATGAAGAAGTTTTAATCCTACCAAAACTCGGAAAGGACCCTGACTTTCCATTTTCTTCTCTTCATGATGGGCTGAACTTGTTTGGCCACTTTTTCGAGAATTTCCTTTGCTTCATCTTCCCGAACTTTTTTAAGAGGTTGAACTTCCCAGACTTTATTCAGATCATTCAGGTCCATGTGAGATACTAATGAAAGGCAAGTTCCAAAGCGTAAGTCAAACGGGCTTGCGGAGTTATTTTTTAGTCATTCCTAATGTGAGCAAAATGGGGAGTCTCGAGACAAACATATGGTTTTTAAACAGTTCATTATCGCATTAGTTTTTGCAAACACAAGCTGAAAGTTGTATGTATTAGTTAAGAGATATTGTTTGGTGAATAAGTTGCAAAAGTGCTATATCTGTTTATGAGTCAGAAAACAAGCAGAATTATTAATCTAAAAGTTCTTCCAATCCTACCTTCAGATTCTAATCCAGTTATACAGAACTAAAAGCAAAGCTCGCATTTAGAAACAAAAAAAAAAAATCATAAAGGTACTATCTTTTTTAATTTATTCTAGTAGGCAAAAGCTGAAAGGAATTATTTTTAACTTTTAAATACTTGCAAACCAACCTTTTGGGAATATACTGGGTATGTTGTTGTTGTTGTCGTTGTTGTAAATACTTGCAAACATTGAAACGCCCCTTTTGAATAACAAATACTTCGTGTAAAAGACTAAGCATATAAACAAATTTCTCGATAGCATTCATGGAGGATTATCAAACTATTGCAAATATATTCACTTTCTGCAATTAACAGAACTCTTTGGATATATATTTCTTCGATTTTTGTTTGTTTTTTTCCCAGAGTCAGAAAATTAGAACAAGGGAAAACCTATAAGAACACTTTCATGAAGAACATTCTCAAATCCACAACATGCACATGAGAATTAGTTTCAACCTTTTTTTCCCCGAATTCTGGAGTGATCCTAATTCTATTCCCTCATTATCAAGCTTTTTTGCTGCCAAAAATAAAAAAAGCATGGATGATAATAATTTCATTTAGCAGCAAAAGTGGTTATCACATATATATCAAGCAAATTGAAGCATCACAACACGAAAATATTGTAGAAATTCAATAAAACACACTTTGCAAGTCCAGTTCAAAACAATCAAATGGTTTGGTATATAAGATGAGCAGAGCCAACAATTTGAGGGGGAAATAATTGGGAACTAGGCATACCTGAAAAATATGACTCAAACAATTGACAAATTCTTGCTGCACAAGCGTTTTTTTCAAAAAATTTTCAATGAACTGCTGAGGTATTTTCTTATCGAGCAAGCCAAACCAGAAGACCTTCGATTTTAATTTTCAGCGTTTTGTCTCGGTTTTTAAAGTTTTTTTTTTTTGGGTTGTAAACTAGCCTGAGCTAGAGCTCAATGCTGCTCGATTTAATTGAGCTCAATCTCGGTCGATTTATCAATACTAATGAGCATTATAGAAGATTATATAAAAAATATATATATTTTCAAGCATTTGGCCCATTAACCAAATAAGCTTGAAATGAACCCGAGCTCAATTCATTTATCAAACGAATTGGGATGAGTTAAACTTTAATACCGTCTCGTTTCATTTATGTGATTCAACAACTCTATCCATCTCCATCTTTTTTTGTTTGGCAAATAGCCGACACGAATAGCATTACTGATTTTATTAGCATATATCATATAACAAATTATATTAGCTGATTTGACTAATAGATTTAATTAATTAATACTGTTAGCGTTTGGTAATAGCATAAATTTATATAGTTGTTAAGTTGTATTGCCTTTTTTCAAATTATCTATTATCAAATGCTAAAAAGATGCAAAAAGCTAATTAAATAAATTTGTTGACAAATAAAGTAATTAGAGATTTTGATTGTTAAAATCTTTAAAGGGTTCAATCCACAAACATACAAACCGAGTACAATATTCTCAAATCCTCCGTATTTCTGCTATCTTTCCATATAAAGTGGATGCTGGTTGTGATCGTATGTTTTAGGGGTGGTTTGCTATTGGTCAGTTTACAACTCGATCAACATATATTTCTTTGGCACCATCAGGTTTTGAAACGAAACATCATCTTTGGAGAGTGATATGGAGATAGGTTGGTCCTCAGTGTACCCGTCAATTCCTATGGTTGGTCGCTAAGGAGAGGCTGTTGACGAACATAGAGCAGCATCAGCGTAATCTAGCTAATAGTCCTTTGTGTGAGATGTGTAGATCCACGTGTTACGTGGTTGTGATGTGTCGAATCAAATTTGGAAGAAGCTGATTCCATGCTCTTGTTGGGATATTTTTTTCGGCATAGAACTAGATAATTGGTTAGAGATAAATCTTGCTAATAAATTGAGATTTCCAGATGAGAGTCCGAACTGTTTGTTTAGAGTAAGCTTGTGGCATATTTGGCAAGAGCAAAATAACTTCATTTTGAATGTTGTTGCTCCGTTGGTGGATAGAAAAATATATGAAGTACGGAACTTTGTTGGCAATTTTCAGCAAGCGCTCTCCAACTTGCAGAAACTCTGGCAAAGCGAAAATCAACCTCATGACGGCATGGTGGATAAAGTGTAATTCCGACATAGCTTTTTAATACCTCTACAGGGATGGCAAGTGCGGGAGGCCTATTGCAGGACCATAATGGAAGGTTGTAGGCGGCTTTGTCATGAACATAAGATTTAGTTCCATTATTGTAGCAAAGATATGGGGGTTGCTGTAAGGTTTGTTGTTAGTATGGGATTTCAAGTATCGTCGGGTTATAGCCGATTATTGACAACTGACCTGACTTGTTGGGATTAAGGTGAAGATTAATAGGTATTATACAAGATTACTGCTCAAATCAGCGTATGCGCCTAACTTGACACAACTCGGTTCAAGTTGAAAACCAAACCGACGTTATACGGATGCAGACCGACTTCGTGCTCAGAACAACAATCGACTTTCAGAGATTCTTTAAGCCACCGACTTCTCGAAAGATTCCTTCTAGAAGATTCTTCATGCAAACCGAGGTCTGAAATGACCGAAACCCGAAGCACGTAATGAAGCGCTCACATAATTGGACCACGTACAACATAGCCATCATTGTTGTCCGCTCGTTAACCAGCAAATCGCTTCATAAAGCTACTTTGCATTTAATGCGATCACACGTATCTCGTACACAAAATCAAACACACACTACTATAAATAGCGGGATTCATTATTGTACAAGGGATCTTTTTTACGCACATTCAATATGCTCATACAAACAAGCTCGGTTTACACAAATACCGACTTCTTGTACTCAACAATTACTCAGCAATAATACAAAGTCTACACTTTTTAATTACGTTGTTAGTTCTCATACAACAACACCGATGTAGAAAACAAGGCAGTGGTTGTTTTAGTGAATGGTCAGGTCGAAGTGGAAGGTGTTCACAGTAGTTTAGTTCAAGCAGTAAAAGAACTGGAATATAAAAATCACGCATGTTTATCAAGAATAAAATTTCTCGACAAATTATTTGGCTTCATTAGGGAATTGTAAGATCCCTAACAACAACACCACAACACAACAAAACAACAACACAGATAAAATAATCTAACTACGCGGAATTGTAAGATCATTTATGCTCGGGTTTGCTCACAAAGTAGTAAAACTGCAAATCAAGAACCCTAGCCACATTCGCCCCCAATTCAGCTCTCTACAACTCCCCTATTGTTTTTTGTTCACTAATTGTTCAATTCAATTTTCAATTTTTTAATTTCAGTAAGAGCTAAAGCTAATAACAAAATCTCACCACCATCATCGATCTGAATTTTAATCATATGGCCGGCGCTGGAATGCACCACTACCATCAGCCGTGGCCGCCGGCTGCCGCACCTCCTCCGGTATCCGCCGCAGCGCCACCGCAGCCGCCTCCTCATGCCATCCCGTCTCCCATCCCGATGGACAGCCCCGCCGCCCGCGCTCACCCGGACGAGGTAACGGCGCGTGATTCGTCTCTCAAGGGTTTTTGGTTTTCGCACCAATCGCTTGTTTTTCCGTTTGATTTTCTATTGTAACTCATTTCCACGAAGGTTAACTATGATGATCTATAGTTTTGGTAAATGATGATTGGTGGGTGATCTTGTCTCGTGCTTACCCGTTTTCCAGGTGCGGACGATATTCATTTCTGGTTTGCCGGAGGATGTGAAAGAGAGGGAGCTGCAGAATCTGCTGAGGTGGCTGCCGGGATACGAGGCATCGCAGGTGAACTTCAAAGGCGAGCATCCAATAGGATTTGCCCTTTTCGCCACTGCACAGCTTGCTGTGGCTGCTAAAGATGCACTTCAGGTAATTCAAATGCTTTTCAACAACTCAAATTCTGCTTGTCCCCCCTCTCGATTTAGCTGTGTGCTTTGATTGTAATATTTGAAAGTTTGAAATCCTTCGTGGGATTTAGGACATGGTGTTTGATGCGGACTCGAAGTCTGTGTTGCACAGTGAGATGGCCAAGAAGAATCTGTTTGTCAAAAGGGGTGAGTTGTGTTGTACACGAGATTGCTCGAGAGCAATTGTTTCTTAGTATTTACATGCGTGTTTGTATCACCTTTGTTTTACGCCATCATTTACTGCTGTTGCATCCCCTATCAACTTCAGCCTTTTAAACTACTGTTTTTGATGTAAATATGATATCATTATTGCGGGCTTCAATCTTTTACCTTGTAGAAGTTGGATTATGCAGGGTATCCCAAATTTTTTTCCGTACTAGCTACTTATATTTTATATAATAGAGATATTAGTCAAATTACTCTTTCATGTGCTCAATGACATACGTCCCATGAGATTTAACGGGCTTTGATCTGCCCAGCCCTCGTTTATAACTTTTGATGCTATGCAGGGATTGTTGCTGATACAAATGCTTATGACCAGAGTAAGAGACTGCGAACAGGAGGTGATTATACACACACTGGTTATTCAACATCTCCTTTCCATCCTCCCCCACCACATTTTTGGGGACCACACGGGTGCGTAGTATATTTAAATTTTCTGACACTCACAAGTTGTTGCTAAAGAATATGCAGAAGAGTTTATCAGGATTTGAGATGCTGACAACAAAATTACTTTTCCTTTCATCATTAGTAAATGTGTTAGTTCCATTTTCAGGTATATGGCCCCTGCTCCTCCCCCTTATGATCCATATGGTGGTTATGCGGTTCCTCCTGTTCCAATGCCTGCTCCAGCTCCAGTGCCAGCACCGAGCAGTTATGTACCTGTTCAGGTGAAACAGTTCCCATGCTATTTTTCTTGCGTTGGTATTAATTTAGTCATATATCTTGCTTGTTGTTGAAGGGTGGCTAAATTGCAAGTCTCTCTCCCTTTCTATGTACGGATAATTGAATGAAATGATGAATATAGTGGTCAAGCCAGAAAGCGTGTATTGTTGGTTGGAGGAGTTGTCAGTGGGGCAAAAGTTGAAAATTTTGCTTTAATGCAACTTCAACGTAACACTAAGTCACTAAGTAGGAGTTAGTTCAAACACCGCAGATTGGTTTTCCATTCAGTAGTCATCGTATTGTCGTTGGGAGAAGTGACTTAACATTTTCTATATTTTGAGAGCAGCAACAGGTGCTCATTTCTGGTTTGTTTTCTTATTGTATTTTCCTGAATTTTGGAACAATATTTATTTTTTCTAGAATACCAAAGATAACCCTCCATGCAATACCCTTTTCATTGGCAATCTTGGTGAGAATATTAATGAAGAAGAGCTGCGTGGCCTTTTCAGTGCGTAAGTCTGGAGCATCTCTATTTGAAGGATTCTGATGTATTTAATTGACTGCTTCACATATGTAAGAACTCTCCTTATTGCACAATTTTGTCATGCAGCCAACCTGGTTTTAAGCAGATGAAAGCATTAAGACAAGATCGACACACTGTTTGCTTCATTGAATTCGAAGTAAGACTATGCTTTGGCTTGAGTTTTTTCGTACATATAATGTATTATGTAATCCCTCTTGTCTGCTACGTAGTGTTGATCAAAATGTTTGTTGTATTGTGCAGGATGTGAACAGTGCCACTAATGTGCATCGCAGTTTACAGGGTGCCGTTATACCCAGTTCCGGTTCTGTTGGCATGCGCATTCAATATCCTTTATTCCTTCTATTACTTTTTTTTTCCTCTGTGGTGTTCATAATTTAATATGGGGCCCATCTTACATTTTCTGAAGCAAGCATTATTATGTACGTGTCATCATTACAAATTACATCCTCATTAAAAAAAGTAAAAGAAAGAAACGAAGATCCAGTTATCTTTTAAAATTAAAATTACCCTGTTGATATACGTTTGACCATCACAAATTGTGAATCCTCATGAAGGATATCCTTAAATATGAAGAATAAATGGGATTTGTTAAATTAGGATACTTGATAATATGCCATATGCTTCATACTTCAATGTTCTTCTCTTGACTTTGAGATACATATTCAAAGAATCCATTTGGCAAGAGAAAAGACTCGAACTATCCAGCTGCTGCTCCCGGTGTGAATGGCGGGCTCCCTCTCCCGATGACCTACCAGTAGTTGAAAAAGAGGGATGTATGGAAAAAACTCACGCACTTGCATGAATTTGATGCATCCGTTGCATGCCAAAATCATCAAGGCATCTCAAACATTATTAGCATGTGTGCTCATGTTATTATATACATGTGAATGCAATTCGTGGAAAAACATTTTGTCGGTTCATACATTTTGTCGTTTCATTTTATGCTTGTTATTTTTAGATATATTAAGACATGCATCAAAAGCTGTGCCATTTTTTAGTCTATTCAATTGTGGTTCATGGACATGTCAGCTCTTTGATTGCATGGTTTTGTGCAGTTTTCCGTGATTAGTTGTGGTCCGAGTGTGACAAATGCATTTCTTCTGATTGCATCAGGAGGGTAATTCATTGACATACTTCTTCTAATCCCATTGAAGCAAAGCTGCATTTAGAAGTAATTATGATTTCATCCGAGGGTTTGAATTTATTGCTTATTTTACAAATTATGCCCTCGAGTATGAGTGCATATAAATCTTCCAGGGGTATTTACAGTAGCTTCAAAGAGATTTGGTGATTTTGAAAGTTTATTGTTTCTTCAGGCTGAATTTGAAGGTTGGGTTATATTATAAACCTTTGCATTTCATTTGAATAGGGTAATTACTCCATGGTTCATTTTATTGTCAAAGTGAAATATGTTCCTCCGATTTAAGGATGTTTTATGGTCTTGAATTCTGAGAAAAGAAAAGAAAATTATGAATGTTACAGCACGGCATTGATTATTTAATTAGTCATCCTCATATGTGCACTTAGAAGTCTTCAACTTGGTGTACATAAACCATTCCAGATAGTAGAGTTCGATTCACATCATTCCTCATCAGGCATAACATCAGCCATAGCATCCATTGAATCTCCAGTTTCGCCTATGGAGTTATTTAGCTGTATAATTAAACATCAGGCATAACATGCATTGAAGGATTTTGGAGAATCTAATGCTGCCATGCAGGTTTTTGTAATAAGAGGATGATCAAGTTCAGGATTTCAGACACGCAATGCCTATTAAGTAGAATTAGCAGCTTTTGTGGGTTTTAAACAAAAGAAAAAAAATATTGAAATTGTTTAACATTTCACTTTGTTATAACTTATTTTTGAAATGATTTCAATTCAAAAGACTCTAGATTTTCTTCTGGCGTGCCTTTTGCCATTGTATTTCAGACAAGCCTAAGAGTGCTAATGTTCTCCCTTTTTACTCTGCCTTTTAGGTCCTTTTTATGTGTTTCCTCGTTAGTTGTTTTATCTGAATTAGGCCTGTAAAGGAGTCGAGCCCGAACTTGAGCCTTTCGGCTCGGCTCGTTGAATAAACGAGCCAGAAATGGTGTTCGAGCTCGGCTCGTTAAAAGGCTTCAAGCTCGAGCTTTAACGGGTCAATCTTGAGCTTTAACATGTCGAACTATATAAAAGTTATATAAAAGTGTTCTTTTTGAGCCTTAACGAATCTTGCCGAGCTGAGCTCGACTCGTTAACGAGTGAGCTTTAAATGAGCTCGAGTTCGAGTTCCTCGAGTCGAGTCGGGTCAGGTTCGTTTAATTTAACAACACTAATTTGAATGTGATGGATTGTCTTAATAGCACAAACAAGTTTTCTTGTTTTGTTCACTAGTTTAGAACAAAAATTGTATTTCTATATCGCAACATACGGCTATTAGTGACTCATTTTCTACTGGAAAAGTGAGCGTGCCAATGACCATTTTCTACTGAAAAAGCGAGCGTGCAACTTACGGCTATTAGTGACTCATTTTCTACTGGAAAAGTGAGCGTGTCAATGACCATTTTCTGTTGAAAAAGCGAGCGTGCGTGACATAGTACCAAATTTGAAGGCAAATGTCATTTTATCTCTTTCTTTCTTCCTTTGTGTGCGAGAGGATGAAAGAGGTTGACATAGTACCAAATTTGAAGGCAAATGTCATTTTATCTCTTCTTCCTCTTTGTGTGTGAGAAGATGAAAGAGGTTACAATTAAGTACAAAAAAATCATTAGGTTGCAAATTTCAAATTCTTGCAAATTATTATTTATCCTTATATTTAATAACATTGGATAAATGATACATGTCTTCATTCCATTGGATGAATGATATATATCCATGATTACATTACAAAAATATGCCAAATTGCTGGAAGACAAAACTTGTAACAATTACACAAAATAATAGTGTAATTGTATGTTTGGGGTTGCATTATTAACACAGCTGATCAACATATATACACACTCAAAATGCCACCCCAGGTGGGGGTAACACAGAATTTCTAGCCTTGCCTATAATTCTTATATAAGGCAACAAATTCTAAGCTGGGGATAAAAAGAAAAGAAAAAATGGCACAAAAATGAAAAGTAACAATGAAAAAAAAATAAAATGAAAAGAAGATATAGAAGACTTTCCTGAATACAAGGATTGCAGGTAAATCCATCACAAACTCAACAGTCGGTCTTATTTACAAATCCTCCACGAACTTCGGTTTGTGTATTAAGAACTCCCATGAGATCTTGTGGATGAAATCGACTGTGCAGAAATAGAAGCAGTTGGGCTGTTTAGGTCTCGTTCCCCATTAGCAACCTTTGGTTTGCCACTCAGCTTCTCTAATGCATCTTGACAAACTTCATTAAACCAATCATCTTCCGGCAGTACGCTGCAAGTGGCAACACGTGACGACGCTTAGTTGTTAATAAAATATTAATAGTTAATTAAAAATAGCAATATATGCCGATTTAGTCAATTTTACACTACAATGTTCAAATGTTAATGAAGGCTGTGATTGTGAGAAAAAGCACATATGAACAATGGAAGTCAATAAATGAAGCCAAATATGACACATTCACACATGAAGCCTTTACCTATATGGATCTATGCCTGTGGCAGAACATGCAGCAAGTGCTTTAGATATAATATCATTGACCACACGGTGCAAATTCCTCGACAAGTAGCGGCCTTGCGATGCAAAGCACATGACGAATTTCATATCCAAATAGAACTGCAGCAAATTCAGCAGATGAACAATGAGTGAGTTGGAGAATATACGAGTCTACAACGAGAATATCATTTTTTTACATACCTGCTGTAGACCAAGAGGACCTAAAGGCCTGGGCCCTTCCTCGATATCATCCCAAAACGTTTGGTCTTCAGAAAGCCATAAAATAACAGTTTCAGTGAGCCTCATTAATAAAAGAGTAGCAAATCTTTCTCGGCCCACAAACATGTCTGCTGCTATTCCAGCCATCCTATTAAGCTTTGCAAAGAGTTCCTGAGAATGTCAAAGAAAAATGGGCAAATTCTCATATATTTTGCATAGTGAATTAAAATGGGGTCATCACACTAACTACCCTATACATTTGTTAATACACACCCACCCACACACACACAGACACACACACACATATATATATAAGGACTGCAAGCAGCTCAAGGTTTGCCATTCCTCAACAAATATCCCACCTTGAGCGTGCAATTTGTACAATCAAACGAATAGGCAACAGGATTCGTGATTCCGAAATTTGATGGGATTTTTACTGTGGTATTTGATTTAAAAAATGGTCTATTAATTTTCTTATAGAAATAGAACTATGGACATGAATGAAATATCCCGAAAGCTAGAAGAAAGGTTCTTATCTATAGGACTCCTACTTTACCTGCTAACTATTTAGCTAATTAACCCAAATTCATCTTCTGGGATAATATCATGGGGAACTTTTGTGGTTAACTCTATTAAAAAAATTCCTAGCTATTTCAAAGCTTAAAAATTGATAAATTTAAGCTCCCCAAAAGTTACGAGATAGAGGAGATAGTTGACCTGAAAATGGAATGGAAAAGGTTACCTGGAATATGGGAGAAGGGAACCACTCTATTTCATCCATATTACCATCCATGTTTATATACATGTGTGCAGTAAGATAACTTTCACCTTCCTCGGTAAAAATAAGATCCAGAGCATGCTGTCGGCAGAAACAATCTTTCAATCTATCAACTGAACTGACAAGGCGCCTCTTCCATTCTCTTTGCTCGGGATTACGGTTTTGCCGGTCGATAGGTCTTCTACGAGAATCATCATTATAATTCGCCTGATTCAAAGGGGAGAGCTTCATGGCTGCACGTGGCAAAAGCTCATCGGCAAGTAAGGATGCATTTGCAAGCAATGCAATTTGTTGTGCTTCATTTTCGGCCATTCGGATGATTTTATTACCGGAGCCCTCGAAATCTGCTTCTTCTTGCATGGAGCCTGGTAATGCTTTTATGAGCATATTTACATAAGAATTGAACACCTGGTACAAGCCATCCAAAGTTCTACTTCCCAACTGCATACTTAAGAGGGGTCCTACATCTTCGAAAAAATCCTACATGGAGGATTTTTTTCATTGAGATATAGGTGCTGGAACCAGAAAAGGGATGACAGCATGTCTATGAAAATAAAATGTTCAACTTAAAACAATACTCAGAAAAATACAAGTTCGTGGACTTCAGAATCAAATTCAGCTTTTGAAGAGTTAATGGACAAAAAATCTCAAGAATAGAAACTTAGTGAGGACTGAGGTCCCATAACATCTGAAATATGTTAAATGTTGGTTGTTCAAGATCACTCTAAGAACAAGATGCCTTCATTCAATCATAATGAACTAATTCACGGTATTTCGTTCTGCTCAACGAATAACAAACGGAAAAAGTACTGGAAGCCAGATGCTTGGATACAAGTTAATCCAAAAAAATCCAATCATTATTAACGAATCAGTTTTTTTTAACTCAAGTCTAACTCAACTTTAACCCAATCCTACTATCCTCAATATTATCAATATAATTAAATAATATCAATCAGTCTCATTATTACACATTACATCAACTTTAATTTACTATTAATCCACTCGCATAATTTTGGCTAACCATCACTTCACATCATCTCTTTCCTACTTTTACAACAAATCAACTTTAATTATTTTATTTTAAATATTATCTTAATATAAACTCAAAATCCCATTAACTAACCATACCGCATTTTTCAAAATTAACCAAACCAAACCAACAAAAAAAAAAAAAAAAATTATATCCAAGCATTTAGCAATTACAAATGTCATCTAGATTCTACAATTGATGCCTGTTCATAAAACAAAATTTTTACCTGGACCATAGAATTGAAACGATGAGCACTACTCGAGAGCTTGGGCTGATACAACCCCATCATGCTGCCACCGCCAGTCCTTCCAGACAACCGCAAGGACGCCGGAGGATAAGTGAGGTCCCAATTATCAGCCGCTGCCAAAGCAGCCGTACTCTCCTCAATACGCTTCAAATTAGCATCCAGAGCTTGCTCGACGCTTGGCCTGAATAGTCTCAAGAGCACTGGACAGAGGGCAAGGCCACGGGCTTCCAGCAACGAACAGTGCCCCAAAGCTATCTGAACACACTCGGCAGCCGATCTCAAGCCGCCAGCAGCTGCAGATGAAGCTAACGCATGTCTCTTCACCAAAAGTGCGAAAGCTTCCGTTTGCTTCGTAGCCCACATCACGAGCTCCGACGTATAAGCTGTCTCCTTGCAGAAAATTGACGAGGAATCACTAGCTGCCTGAGCAATGGCTGAGAACACGAACTGAGAAAGAGCTGCTGTGTAAGCCCCACCATAAGAGGTGCTTGACGGGCGAAGGCTCTGCATGTTGTATTGATACCTCTGGTAATGTGCGCTAAGGAGAAGAGTATGTGCGCGGGGCCCATCACCGAGCTTTTTGAGAGCCGAAATTGCTGACCGGAGCTCAGTGCCCCTTGTGGACGGTTGGCAGGCGGCTTCGGCAAGCTGATCGGCCAGCTTTTGGCGGCGTTCGGTTATGGTGGTCTGCAAAGAGATGACCATTTCGGGGGATAAGTTTTTTTTCTCTTTTGCCTCAGCCACGACTTGTTCTCCTTCGTTGAGGCTGACCAAAGCCTCATCTATCCTCCTTTCGGCTAGCAATACATCGAGGTAGTCGGGGAATTCGGTTGACCATTTTTCCACGTCAGAAGGCTCTCTAATTTTGTTGTTGGGTTGATCTGTTGTGGTGGAACCATCTGGAAGTTTGTCGGATATTGACTCGATATGGACTCCCTCGGCTAAGTTGTGAATTAGGGTCGCCTGTGTGGATAGCAGATTTCTCATCGATGAAAGCTCACCTTCCAAATCTGATATCTCTTTGGCTGTCCTGCAGTTTTTTTCAATTGCAAAATGAGTAACTTCTGAATATGGAATTACGGATATGTCGAATATGTGGATAATAAAATAATTAACATCTGTGTGGCTGTAAGACATGCTGCATATGCTAGAACTGTTTACAGCAAGTATCACCATAAATGAAATATATTAATGATTTTTCTTTATTATCACAAAAATTTAGGATTTATGTGCATATCAATGGATAGTTCTGATATAAATTTAATGTGATTGCTCGATATCATGTCTTCAGCCAAATGCTTTGTTGCATTCCATTTACAGCTATTATATATCAATTTCATAAAAAAATAAATCATAGAAAAAGAGAAAATGTTATCTCGGCAAGGACAGAACAATAAAGAACTCACCGTATAAATGCTTTATAATTAGCATATACACTTCTGCGCATTTCTTCAGCCGAAGCTCTCTTCAAATCCACAAGATACGAGCATAACTGTCTAATTTCCTGCAAAATATATTCAAGTGTAACGAGCTGTGTAACCATTCAACTTTGTATGGGGTTCAAGAGAACCCGAAGTGAGATGAAGAAGACTAAGCTATAAGCCATTATAAAGTTTAAGCTAAAGGCTTATATCAGAACTAGTTGCCTTTCCCCTGCTTCTATGCTGACTCTCACTACAATAAGATAACGTGCCAAAGGTAGATTGTGAGTGTAAAAAGTCAGACTGCTTGTTAGGAAAGGCAAGAGCTGTAAAATTCAATTATTCTCATGACACATCAATCCATACGGTATGTATCAATAACTTATGCGGGTATTCAGAGATTATGGAAAATATGAAATCTGAACCTCTGATTTCTTACTAGTCATTGACCTCCAAAATAGTGTTTTTTTTTTTTTTTTAAACTTTAACCAACTAACCACAGGGCAATTGGAAGTCATTCATGCTCCGTCAGTACTATCGACTGATGGAGAAAAAATGTGGATCTAATCCTCTAGCCAAAATAGAATATTTAGATTCCTTTCACAAAAGCAACGTAAAAACCCAAAAATAACAAATTGAATCCCCACCTTGTGTTGATCCAACTTCATTTATTTATATCCTCCTCACTCCGGGAGCAATCTAAAAGACTGCAACTTAGAGGACTTACACCCTACGTGTTGCTCGGGAATTAAACATGATACCATCCTATAATTTCATTACAATTCATTGAAAGAAATCTGGCGCATTTGTTATTGTCAAGTAGTATAAAGCTAGTTATATGCCTCTGTAATTGCATGTTCCTCGACATTAAATCAAAAATCCCAATCAATTAAACCCACAAGGCAAAAGTGTAAACACGATAACATAACTTCTTCTTCAACTGTTGACCATAGAGCTCAAAACAAGCTATTATCCCATGATATATATATGCTTAAGCAAGCTACAAAAAATACCCAACCAATTGACTTTTTTTTTTTCATTTATTTCTCACACCCCATCTCCAATCAATCTGTGAACAATCAAGCAAATGGTAACCGAGGTAAATAAAACCATAAAAATCTGATTTTTGGACCTTTTCGCTGAGCGAGTGACACTTGGACTGCACAAAAGCATCAGCATCGAAGCTATCGGACTTGAAGACGTTAAGATTTTCCTCGAATTTCGCTCCCGCGTCTTTGGCACTCACCTTCGCTGAAACTCCGGTGAGAGCTGCTGCTCTTGACCGAGAGGATTTCGCCGACGCCATAACCAAAAATTGGCTTTCTTTCAAAGGAAAATCAACTCAACCGAGCAAGCAAACAAACAAAATCCAATTGGTTGACTAAACTTAGCCCAAAAAGAAAAAACACGGATAAGCTGCAGCTCGACGATTCAGATCCGGCGGCTGTTCTGCGCCGCGCGATCTCAGGCAACTAACTCGAATCGAAAACGATGGTTAATTAAAGAGGTGATCAGAGCATTTGGGGGCTCAGGGATTGACTGGCGAAGATTGAAATCGCCATTGAGGGGCAGAAAAAGGAAGAAAAATTTGGGAACTGTTTTTTGTTGAGTTGGTTTTGGTTGGCGGAATGTTTTGGGTGAGCTGCTGTTGAAAAAAAGACTCCAAAACTCCCAAATTTATTACTACTTTTTTTTGTACATATTTACTGTCCTTATTTCCAATTAAGATTGTGCGTTTATTGCAAATTTCCTCTTTTCAGGTGGAAAACGCCTTAAATGTGTTGGTATATAGTAGTATGTGGTAAAATGAAACCAACATTTAAAATTCACTAGTACGTAACTTGTGCGATGCACGAGATGTAAAATTTAGAAAAATAATATAATCTCACGTGGATCGAAATTGAAATCATTAAAATACATAGGAACATTGTTGAATCATAAAAAGTTCAGTAACAATCATAAATTATTAAAAACCTCCTTGTACACAACATTATGAGTTTGATTATTTGGTAATTCCTCATTATCACAAACTAATATTTTCAACCCCCTTCTATTATTTACACGCGAAGCAGCAACATATAATTGGCCGTGACTAAAAACGGGTTTCTTCAGGAAAAGACCAACGTGCGATAAAAAAAGAGTTTTTAAAAAAAGAGTTTTTAAAAATTGAAAAGTCAAGGCAATCAGTTCAGATTAATTAAAGGTCAAAGAATATCTGCTCCTTGAAATAAAGACGTGTGCTATCATTAACCAAATATCCGGTTATTGATATAGAGTGGTTACCAAAAAATAGAACGCGATAAGGACGCTTCATGAAAATATCAATGGGATAAGGTCATAACAGATCGCTATACATTTTAACGATAAAAGCTCATATAGAATGATTTAATTAGATGTGTGAAAAGGACATAATTAATGAGAAGTGTGAAAATGACAGAATTAATGAGAAGTGTGAAAAGGACAAAAACTTACCGGTTTTGGAAAATATTTAATGTAAATCCGACATTGACCATAATTTGACCTACTATTTTGGATAAATGTTAATTCTTATTATATAAGTATAGATATGATCTACTTTGTTGTGACATTAACAAGGCATTAAATATTTTATTCTTCTTTAAAATGTAGTACTTATCATATAACATTTAAAACTCAGATTATCTACTTTGTTGTGACATTAACAAGGCATTAAGGGTGTGATTGTTTATCGATTCAACTAGTTTTTATTTGGTTTGTTTTTTAACTATAGTTAATTTTAAAAAAAGGTGGTATGATTAGTTGTTAGTGTATATATTAAATAATATTTAAAAATAATAATTAAAGTTGATTTGATGTAAAGTAAGAGAAAAATGATTGGAAGTGATAGTTAGTTAAAATTATGTGAGTGGATGAATAGTGAATTAAAGTTGATGTGATGTGTAAAAATGATTGTTTGATATTGTTTAATTATATTGATAATATTGGAGATAGTGGGGTTGAGTTAAAGTTGAGTTAAATTTGAGTTTTGATTAGTTTTTTTTACTATTCAAACCATATCCAATCGCCCCCTAAATATCTTATTCTCCTTTAAAATATATCACATGCCAATACGAATGGCAGACCTAACGGATAGGCATCTAAATGTCCTCAATATATATATATATACACACACAATATCTTACTTCATAAAATATCATAAACAAATCTATGATATTTTATTGTATAAGTATATATTTTTATTAAAAATCATGACAAATTGACCCGTCAGAGTGGTTAAGTCAACTCGCACAAAAATTTGTGATCATAAGATTTTGTCATGAATGACTACAATTCATTTATTTCCCAAAATAACTTGATTTAGGTTGGTGAAATACTTTCTTGTTTCACTCAGTTTTGTTATGGAGCCATTCACACTTATTCACAAATAATATATTGACACGTGTCCTACAATAAATACACTTTGAATATGTGTCATTACCTTAAGTGATGAATGACTCAATAAGAGCACCACAATGCATTGGGTCTAATTTTACATATGTGGCATATAAATGGACTTAAGTCCTAAATGACATGACAAAACCCAAGTAAAAAATTCAAAAGTTATTCAATGCAAAAACTAAAATATTAGGTCTATCATACATGTCAACCAATAAAAATGCTCTAATATGTTTCATTTATTAAAAGAATAATTAAACTACAAATAAATGATGAGTGTTTGGGTTTGTACTTGAGTCCAAAATAGACCCAAGGGTGGACTTGGTCTCATTTTTTTATTGCTACATAAACTAGACCATGTCCACTTTTAATTGCATTGGGAGACTTTTTTTTATAGACTAGGTCTATTTCCTACATGGCATATGATTTTTTGTTAAGAGACCAAAAGCATTGTAGATACTCTAAGAAAGCAATTCGATGACTCCATAAAATTTCTGTTTATTTCACCATACTTTTGTAGTAAAAATGTGTACTTATATTAGGAAGTATTATAATATTTTTCGAATATGCATTTCAAACTAAAATAAAGACATGTTGAAAAATATACCTGTCTAAACATTTAACCTAGACAAAAGAAGGAATCAGTGATTAGAATTACAAATGTTCATATTTTCCCAACATACTTCCCTTGCCTGCTTAATCAAACACTCTAAAAATTCAACTTAAAAATAACATTTATTTTGCTCCGTCCAAATAAATCTGATTATTACAAGATAGACTAGCAATAGCATGGGAGTAAAATTGAGTCCAAGCATTCCAATTCTTATTACATAGCAAGCTCATTAGAGCTCTTCTGGAAATAGCAAATCCACAACAGTTTGAACAGAAGGCAAAAATTGCGCGTTCTTTTCAATTTTTTTTTTCTGCCAATGCCGAGGCTCATTCAGGGGTGTCCGAGCGGATGGCTGAAAAAACGATAACACAACAAAAGAATTCAAATCGGGATATTTTAAAAAATAAATAAAAATAAAAAAATCACACTTTCTAAAGCAAGCAATACGTTGATGACTTTCCGACAGTAAATTTCACCGAGACACAATCAGAATGAAACCGATAATACATGAGAAAGGTATAAACAAGCCTTTAAATGCATGAGACTAGCGAAAAATAGTAACCACATAGATGACACTCTTCAAACTTTTCAACATTTAGATATATGTTCAGTAGAGGTGAAAAACAACAATATATCGCCTTTTTTCAGTTGACACATACTCAGAAACTACACACCAAACACCCTTTTCGCAGGTCATAAAGCTTAGAGATAGCACTAGATAGCAAGAATCATGCTCATAACAGTTTTTGTCGAGTAAATTATTTTGGCGAATTGAGGGGCTAGCAAAAATAAATTATTTTTTATCCTCAAGTATTTATTTTATTTTATTTTTTATTTTTTAACAAAATCTGATTATAAATTTCCAAAGGCATCAATTTCTGTTTCCCAGTACACCCATAGTATACGACTATACCATTACCATTAAATTTGCAAAGAACACTGTCTTAAAGCTCAAGCTCAGTTCTTCTGTAAAGCTAAAGCTCAAGCTCAAGCTCAAGCTCAGTTCAACTGTAGGGCACAATGTTCAGTTCCTAATCCATACTCTCTCTGGAAAAACTCAATATTATGTACCTCAAATTCTATTTGGGCCAATCAAGTCACCGCATTGATCATTTTCATCAGACACCCTTAAAATTCAATAAGCAACAATGATCTTCTGGAGAAATTAACAAAACAAAAGGGCTTCAGGCCAAAACAATTATGAGCAAATTGAGCATAAACTTCCCCAATTTGAAATCCCTATTGTAAAAACCATATCACCTCCAAACCAACCACCCCCACAAGAGAAAATGAAGAGGTCCAAATGTCCAATGAGCACACTAACCATAACATTCATACACCAAATTCCAATAAAAATCAATTTCGAAAACCAAAAAAAAATAAATAAATAAACCCAGAAAATAAAAAATCGGAAATACAGATCTCAATAAATTCTGACAATAGAGAGAGGGAGATAGAGAGGGAGAATCGGAATTTACTTGACTTCTCCGGCCGGCCGTCGACCCACTCAGAGACGGCGAAATGGACCTTCTCACGGGTGAGTGCTTCGGATTTGTAGGGCTCCTTCAAACACTGTCTCACCAAATTGGCGCAGAGGTTCGAGTACGTTATGTAGGTCATCCCGGCAGCTCTCCAAAACGGCACCGCTGCATTAGACGCCATTTTTGCTCCTCACTAGCTTTTCTTCTTTTCTCGACGAGCTCACCGTGTGATGGAAAATGGTCAAGTTGTCAGATCAGATCATTTTATTTCGGTAGACCCGGAGCTTTTTGGGCCGTCTAGTGGCCTCCCAGGATATTTGGGCTGTTGTTGTTTGGGCTTAGGTCCTAAGATTTGGAAAAATTACACTCCTTGTCACTTATGTTTTATTTCTGCACAGAAATGGTACTCGAAATTTTTGCTAACAATTGAATTGCTTTATGTCACTATTTTGGAGTATTTTGACTCTTGTTAATTGGGCTTGTTGAGCCCAACATCAACCATGTCCTCTTTTCTCCCGTCTCCTTGTTTTTCATTTTTTTATTACATATTTGAACTCCATGCATACACTTCGTCTTAGACTCTAACCCGTTTGAATTTTGATTTTTGAGTGCAGTATTCAGATTTAAGAGCTTATCATATGTGGGAATATATTCGTCTTTGGATTGAGTCAACGTTTTGTAGAGTACTTGATGGCTTTGGTAGTTTCGCTTGACTGACGGTGACTGATTGCAGGTGAGTGTCGGAGGCTCGAAATCTGCAGTGGCATTCAAGCTCATGTTTAATTGAAGTATTAGTGAAAATGTTTTGCTTCGTTTTATTTTTATTCATTTCCAAATGCTATGCCACATTATAAATAAACAATTCAATAACAATCAACGCATATGTACTTTGTTTGAAGTCAATCACAAACATAAGTTAAAATTAACAATTCAATAACAATTAACGTATATGTACTTGGCCATCTAATTTATAACATAATCAATTCTAATCTATAATACAATAATTTCTATCCACTAACAAAATAGTAATAAATTCAAATTCATAAGACAATCAATTCTAATATATAATACAATAATTTCTGACTTCTAACATGATAGTAATAAATTCTAATTTATAAGATAATCAATTCCAATATATAACATAATAATTTAAAGTAATATAATTTTTTCAAACTAGTATCATTTCTAATTTATAATAATATAATTTATACTAATTAAGATAATAATAAGTTTAATTAATGATAATGTGATATTCATTTTTGACATATATAGTGAAAGTGTGTTAAAGCATGGATCATTTAGTTCCACATTGATTTTGAAAGCAAAAAAGAATGCAAAAAGTAGTTATAAAGGTTTGAGACAATTCCACATCGATTACAAACACAATAATAAAGGCCAAGAGTGGCTATAAAAGGTTGGGAGAGTGAAAACTTTGATTTGCAATTATCCCACATTGAATGAGAAAGTTCAATGTAAGACAATAAATAACTATATATGTTGTAACAACTTGCCTTAATAACTATTAATCGGTTTCTCTAATAATTAATAGTAGTAAAAAAATTATATATCTTTTTAAATATTTAATTTAAAAGAAAAAAATGAGCCGGCCGCGCGCGGCCGAACGAGTTGCGGCCGCAATCAGCCTTCGGCCGGTCGAGTTGCAGCCGCAATCAGCGACCGGCCGGTTCAAAAAAAAAAAATTAAAATGTTGGCTTCAGTCCGGCCGGTTTGACCGGCCGACCGCCGAATTATTTGGAGGTGTTTTCGGAATTTTTCGGTGCTCGGTTCGGCCGATAAATAGTTTAGAAGGTGGGACATTATTTTTTTAAAAAAAAATAAGAATAAAGGGCAAAATTGTCATTTTAGGGTGCGGTATTAGTAAAATGGGTACGGTATTTAGCAATTCAGAAATTATTATCATATTTAATTTAAAAATAATAATTTTTCTATTAATTCCAATTGCAAAATTATATTTACTAGAATTAGAAAATAGTTGAGGCCCAAGGCTCAAAATGAAACCAGACACTTCTCGTGCACTCGACTCTTGAGCCAACATCATGCGAGCAATGGCCACCACCTCCACCTGCCACGGCGGAGCGCTCGCGCCGCACCGCCCATCTCCGCCGCTTCATTATACCCATCCTCCTCATCCGGTTCTCCGGCGACCTTACGGCTGCAGACACACTTGGAAACCGATGCGTACAACAACAGAGGTCACTGGGAAACGCATGCCAAGTGCTCGAGCAAATGCCAAAGCGGCGAGACGTTGGAATGAGGAGCCGCACGAAGCTTCTGAATATGGAGGACAGTATTATCTAGACGAGCAAGATGTAGCGACTTTTCTCGATCCTCCAAAGCCGCTCATCCCGCTGGATCCTTCTTCGTACAACCCAGCTTCTTATCTCTGGTTGGTGTTTGTAAAAAATAAAAATAAAAAATAGTATTCTACAAAGTATTTATACTAGTTTTTCGAAGCTTTTTATGGTAGATTGGTTCTGTTGTGTTGAATATTTGGACGAATGATCAGTTTGTTGCTGTAAGTAAACCCGAGTTTCAGTCAAGAAGAGAAGGAAAACTGTTATATTATTTCTTTTATGTTTTTTTGGATAAATGATTTGAAGCTAATTAGGTTCTGAATGCGTTTTTGTAGTTCAAATGCTGAAACATTAGGGGTAAGATGTTTAAACATTGTTTCATTTGCTCAAGAAGTGGTTATTGTTGTGATATTTCTTGTGTCTGGCATGTGTACATCGGTGTTCATCCATTGTAGGAAAAAGATCGAAAACATTCCAGAGGAAAGGCGGCATCACTTGCTGTCCCTGCTAAATCCGAGGTTCGTCTATTGTGTCCTGAAAACACACATATAATAGAACAAAACCAAGTCATTAGTTTATCATTTCAAGATAACCATCCACTTGCATTTATCTTTGTTTGCTGAGTGATATGCTAATCAAGATTTTTTTTTTACATTCTTCTTTTTCCTGGGTTTATTACAGACTTGTATCAAGAGCTTGGGAGGTGGCAAGAAGACGATATGATAATCCTAAGTTAGTAAAGAAAAGGGCATCTCGCATGCTATCTGATGGAAATCGTGCAGGGTCTCTTGAGTTGTGGAGTTGCAAAACAAGTGGAGGTGAATTACTGAAAATGTGCCAAAATATTAATCTCATTTGGTTTGCTTGTCCTACGAAGACGTGTTTCATATATTTTATTCGAATGTAATGATTTAAGAAATAATTCCTTTTCAATTTGTGCTGTACAGCACCACTTCCAGTTGCCTGGATGAATGCATCCCAGAAGGTGAAAGTTCTTGTTTTTTGCTATCCGTGCACCAAATTTCCTATTCTATTTATTGATTGATTGATGGGGTTTCTTCTTGTGTTTCGATCGATTGTACGCTGAAATTCAATTTCGGTGCGTTCGTTCCAGGTAATATTTCGCTGCACGGATGGGAAAGCCTACGGACGACTTATTGGTACATTGATTTATTAACTGATCAGTTCGCTTCATGAATTATGCTTCCCTCGATGCAGTCTGAATGTGTTCTGTAGAAAGGAACATAAATTTTGCTTATTTGTATCTGTATAATATACTATTCCCGAAATATAGGGAGTGTATTCGTTTGGGATTTCTAAAGACATTTTAAGACTTTAGAAATCCTGGTGTATTCAATTTAGACACTTTTAAAAGTTTGAAGGTATTCATTTGAGATTTTAAGAAGTCTTACAAAATCATGAGATATTTAACTTATTTGAGACTAAGATTTGTTAAGACTTTTCAAGATTTGTTGGGATTTCAAAAGAAAAAACCATTTACGAAATCTCAAAATGTCATTTGGAATTCCAAACGAATACATTAATTGTCATGTTCTTTCTCATTTTAATAAAATTCATCACTTCTCATGCCCATTTATATAATTCGTACTTTTTCTCCTGGGAATGATATTTTTGATGTTCTACCTAGAAACTCACTAACTAGGCTGCATTCCGATGTGCAGACTCTAATCCCTTGTCAGGAATAACGAAATCCTTCAGCCCTTTGTACTTCAGTGTGAAAGATGTCAATGAGGTTATGTCGACCGAGCAGCCATGTGATTTGGCTTATGAATTTGGAGATGGACTTTTGGATCTTCCTGAATATCCTCAAGGATTCCCTAAACCTGGTAGCAAATTCACCTCCACCCCACTTT